AAAAAACTCTCTCCTCAGACCCGATTTCACCTAACCTCCCATTAAAATGATGATTCAATCTGCACACAATGCCACAGGAACTCAACCCTTCGCGCACAGGCGTTCAGGAGGCCGTGGAGAGCAGCTGGCACGCGACCCAACCTCCAGCTGCAACCGGCAAGTCTTGGCGTCCAAGAGACGGACACTTCTCCAGGGGAAGGCCAGGGCTGGCCACACAGCAGATGACTCAACGGGACTTGGCAGCGGCCACCAGCAAGCCCCCTACGGCAGCGTGCTTCATGGGACGGACCGCATTGAATGTGGGTGGAAGAGCCAACACAACTTTGGGAAAACCAGCTGAGGTCTCTCCTTCGTTCCCATCACGAAGACAAGCTTGAAGTAGCTTCTGATAAAGCTAGAGACAGAGCTGCAGCGCGTGGGTACAGGAATAAAATTAGATTGCATTAAAAAAAAGAAACCCCAAAGCCAACCTTCTCCCCTATCAAGACCTCTTACAACTGTCCTCATCATCATGGAATTTGGGCGCCTTCCAGAAGTGTATTAAATCAACACGGCTTTTATTTGTCATGCAGAGGTCATTCACTCTCCCGCAGGGTCTCATTTGGCCAGGAGAATTCCGTTTATCTGCTGATGTCGGGAGAAAAATATTAAGAAAAGTTTGACTTTCAAACCTTGCTCGTGTGAACGAATCGTGGCTTTTCCATTTCCAGCAGTTCTGCCGAATTCCTTCCCCAAGCTGACGATGAGCACGGCCAATGACTTCATGTTTTAAGCTTTACAGAAGTACAGCCGCCCAGCTGGAACACACCATAAAAGAGGCAACATATTATGAAGATCTTTTTTTACTGGATTAAAGTTTGATCAGGGCTAACGAACAGCCAGTCAGGAAGTCTTTTCTTCATCAGGGTATTGTTTCAGGAAAATTGAGTTATAAACCAGGATGCTCTCGTGGATAAGCGGAAGCAATTAGCTCACCTGCTTTTGCACAAGGCAAATTTCCTCCTTTAGCATCCTCCTCTTCAAAGTCGTTCAGTTGTGTTCTCCTGCAGGCACAACCACTCCCAAATTCACCACCAATAAAGGGAAGCAGTCCTCTAAGACTCAACCTCTCCGGGCCAAGCCATATCTAGACAGATGTACAGTAACACGACTATATTCTGTGAGAAATTTCCTTTTCCAAAGAAGTTGCATGCTTCAACTATTTTTTTTTTTTTTTACATCATCCTTGCAATTGGGTCTTTCCAGTTAGGAGAATGTGTCCAGCCAACATCCACTGGAGTCCCATCACTGCCTGGTGCAGCAGAGCTCCAACCTGAGAGTGGTTCTCCATAGAAAGGACTCCAAAAAATATCCCCCAAGAACCAGAGGACTCACCATGTTTATCATTAAAGGTCCATTGGGACGGAATTTACAGCACAAAAGGCAGAACTGGTGGGACTGGTCATGGAAGAAGAAATGGAAGGTGCTTCTGAAGGGCAAACAAGCCTCTTATTTTAAAATAAGGAGTCTCAGACACGTATTTGGCATCTATACAATAATTATTGTAAAGGGTGGGCACGGCAAATGTTGATAAAGATCATTTCTGGTGAACTCAGAAGAAAAGCCTGCTCCTGTAGGGTTAAAAAAAAAAAAAAAAAAAAAAGTAGTTCTGCCTTTTTTAAACTTCCAAAGATTTGCAGAATTTACCCTAAAAGTCTTTGTGTAGCAGTGGATTAAGAAGAGATGACTCCACTCTGGAATCGACACAAGACAAGCACAATTTCCTGCGTTTTTGGAAAGAAGCTTTGCATTTTGGAACCGACGACTCCAAATGTCAACAGCCTCCTTCCATAAAACTATAAACATTGTATGCTTTGCACCCAGCATGAGCTTTATCTGACCCGATGACAACACGGGAATGGGTGTGAGTCAGCTTCACTAGCGTCCCTCGTGAAGAAATCAAGAGAAGGATGGACGATAATGCTGTCAGAGGGCTGAGGAGGAGACTTGCCTTCTCTAAACCTGGCCATGTGGAACCTCATTTTCAGTTCTCAGAAGTTTCAGCTCCTCCTGATTTCATCTGGAATTGCGGGCTCTCACTCCTCTGGGGAGAAAAGTCAATCGATCTCAGTTCCTCTACAAAACTTTCTTTTTTCCACCCTGTGTGCAAAGCAAAGAGAATGTTTGCTTTACAGTTATTTCAGAAAGCAGACTGTAAACTCTCTGTGAAGCCCAGGACCAGCATAAAATATCCAAGCACAACTTTCAGATCCCACATTCCGATATACTAAAGCTCGCCTGAATAGAAAATTTGTAACAGGAGCAAACACTTCTCCCCTAGCCAAGGAAGAAAGCACCAAAGGAGGAATTCCATGTTACTCACCGCTAAAGCTCTCAAGCTGCAACTCCAACAGAACAAGAGCAACTGTGAGATGACTTTGGTAGTTAGTGAACATTTTTAAGCAGGGTAAAACATTAAAAAAATTGCAGTTGGAACTCAATGATCTTCCAACCCAAACCACTCTGTGATTCTATGGCTCTTCTACTTGCCATGCGCTGGATTATTGGCCTCTATGTTAGAGAGCAAGACTCAGGCACACGACGGACATTTAAATAAAAACCACCAACAGCTCTTATCTGACTGTAAGAAGACTTCCAAGCATCCTCTGAGGCATCAGTGGGGCCCTTAAGCCGTTTTTTTCCACCAGTTGAAAGCTTAAAAGTATATTTAAGAAGCTAACTGCCCTTAAATGAGCACTCAGCGAGGCAAAATCTTCCCATGACTCCAACACAACTGAATTTCTTGTAGCAAGGTACAAGCCTGTTCATATGCAGATCAGAGAATCGCAGGAGAAATCTCAGTACCAGCAAGGTTTAGCACCTTCTGCTTCAGCAACATACAGAGTGCTTGGAAAGGCAAAGCCGCAACTTGCATCCAAATTGATCCCAAGGACAAGCGAGTGGAACAAAAACAGATTTGAAAAGCAGAAAGGGCTAACGAGCTAAGCCATTCTCTGAGCTGATTCATCGCAGCCATGTGATACTGTATTTAATTTTTAATCTGCACTTCAGATTTCTGAGACCAGACCAGATATGGCCTTCTGACATACTAGATCATGGTTTTGTGGTAGTTGGTTTTTTTGCATGCTCTGGATAAAATACAAATCTTACACCCAGATGCATCTCACACCTGACTCTGGCGCAGAACAGCTGCTTTAACAGCATGTGGTGCAACCAGCCCAGGACACAGTTTGAAAAATACAATGCCAAATCTTTTGTCTAGTGTCATTTAGTCTAGTCCTACTGACCTTCCAGGGAATCCCATTATTTCCCATCATTTGAAGATTTGATTCATTACATCCCCATGTGAGCTCCAGGGATAACTGGCAGAGCTGGACCGTAGCCGCTGCTGGATGGCTTTTACCCAAGGGGTGAAACAAGAAGTTCTGTGAAATTCTTAGTGAACACAAAAGGTCAAAATCAGAGTCATGCCTCACCCTCTGCAGAATCGGGTGTACCGGTACAGCTGTTCTTTGAACTGAATTACTGTGAACAGCTTAGCACAGAAAATAGGAAACCACTGTTCACACCCACCTAGTTTTCCTCAGATGTCTTTTCCTGTTTATTCGTCATATGAACTCTATTGTGATAAGCAATGAAACCGAGACTTCAGGCTTCTATCACCAAGAACAAGTCTTTGTATTTCATCTTTTGCCACTGTGATGTTCATGAAGATACAACGTGGCAATGTGCGCTGGCAGCCCAGAAACCCCCCCTGTCCTGGGGGCATCCCCAGCAGCGTGAGCAGCACGGTGAGGGAGGGGATTGTCCCCCTCTGCTCCGCTCTGGTGAGACCCCCCCTGGGGTGCTGCCCCCAGCTCTGGGGTCCTCAGCACAGGACAGACACGGAGCTGCTGGAGCGGGGCCAGAGCCCGGAGGTGGGCCGAGGCTGGAGCAGCTCCCGTGCGAGGACAGGCTGAGAGAGTTGGGGGTGTGCAGCCTGGAGAAGAGAAGGCTCCGGGGAGACCTTCCAGCACCTCCCAGTGCTGAAAGGGGGCTACAGGAGAGATGGGGGGGCTCTGGGTCAGGGGGTGCAGGGACAGGACGAGGGGGAACGGTTTGAAGCTGAGAGAAGGGAGATTGAGCTGAGATATTGGGAAGAAATGTTTTCCTGTGCGGGGGGTGAGGCAGTGGCCCAGGGTGCCCAGAGAAGCTGTGGATGCCCCATCCCTGGAGGGGTTCAAGGCCAGGCTGGATGAGGCTTTGGGCAACCTGGGCTGGTGGGAGGTGTCCCTGCCCATGGCAGGGGGTGGCACTGGATGGTCTGGAAGGTCCCTTCCAACCCAAACCATTCTGTGATTCTATGATTGAGTGTCTAACCAAGTACCCTGTCAGAGCACAAGCACCAAGTGAAGGGGACTCTCCCAGGCAAAGCTTAAAAATTCCCAACATCATAAAAAATGTCTGACAAGATTCTCCTGGTTCATACAGAAAGAGAGCAAACCAAGCGAAAGGTCAGTGAAGTCCTGACTCCTCCACTCTTTAAAAACATCCCGTTTAAACAGCCATTACAGCTACCTCAAAAGCTCTAAAGTTCTGTGTTGGGTGGAGTAAGAGGTGATTACAGCCCAGTTTCTTTAGATGTTGTCCGTATGGACAGCAAAGATAGATTTCACCATTGCTGCAATAGTTACTACGAACTGATCTGATTTTATTTATTTATTTCAGGGGATTTTGCAGTACAAAACATTACAAGTATGTTTTCTACATTGAGTTAGGATATTAAAAAAATTCTAAAATCCTTGTTAAAAACAATTCAAAATAAATATATAAAACTGCTATTCCAATCAGGTAGTTATAAATATGTTATGAACCAAGTTCTTCCAAACGATGTGTACTTTGGAAGTGCATAACCACTACAAAAACCAGCCATTTATTTAAAACCCTGTCATTCACATCAAATCCCTGATTCTTAAATATGGCAAGATTATATTAGTACAAAAATGACACAACTGCATACCACAAAACGTACACTGCACAAGTATTTACTGCGTTATTTTTTTCACATCCCAATCTCCTTTTTGCTGCAAGTTTACTAAGCACCATACACCTTCCTTTGAAGAGGAGATCTTTATCAGTTCCAAGGCACCTTCCTCCCTAAGACACGGTTGGTGATTTTCTGAAAGATAAAAACAAAGCGAGACAGATGAGTATTAATCCTCTAAAAATTCAAAACACTAAGCACAAAGAAGATGCAGAAAATGTTTTCTATAATAAATAATAAATTAGGACTCTTCGCTACTGTGGGAGGGATGAGCCGTGACTGAAAGGGAAGACATGAAAGTCTATACAACCCCCGAGCAGGTGAAAAGAAAATGTTATTTGCAGACTCTTCAGAAAAAAAAAAAAATCTGGGGAGGCATGACAGAAAATAACTGCTAATAGATTAAAATAAAGCACTGACTCTTCCCACAAAGCATTCTGAGTCTTGCGCAGGTAAGCTGTGGAACTGTGCCCTGCGGTGCTGCGAACACCGGGCATTTACACTTCACAAAGCAAGCGGACAAATTCATGAAAGGAAAAAAAGGCACCAATCTGAAGATGGATTCAAAGCCCCTTGGCCACGCTGCACTGGGCAATCCAGCTAATGAAACAGCACATCGTCCTGCTAGCTCAGCTGGCGGATCGCTGACGTTCTGAAGCCTGGAACACGTATTACACAGCTTCTGAGAAGTGCTGGATAAAGTCAGAGCGTTGGGTAACTCACAGATTACTAACAGCAGTGGGAATGATACAGCAGCTACCTGATGAGACCTTTTGCATCACACAGATTAATACAACACACAGTTCAGCTCTTTATACACACACACACGAGAATTTGTGGATGCCCCATCCCTGGAGGGGTTCAAGGCCAGGCTGGATGAGGCTTTGGGCAACCTGGGCTAGTGGGAGGTGTCCCTGCCCATGGCAGGGGGTGGGACTGGATGGGCTTGAAGGTCCCTTCCAACCCAAACCATCCTGGGATTGTATGATACATGTATACAGTATATACACATAACATATACATTGTATATACCAATACAGAATATACTCTGCTTACACACATACATATAAAAAGCAGCAAAGCTGCTGACACGAATCTCGGTGTGGAATCAGTCCCCAGTACTTCGCGAAGCCTCAGAAGGCTCCTCACACCACATATCCTCTGATCAGTCCTTGCAGCTCACAAACCCTTTTGCAATCTAAGGAGCAAACCCAGCATGCAATCAGATGCTATCTCACCTCTTTGCCCCGCTCCGGGAAGCAACTACAAAACCAAAACCTCTAACATGTTGCTGACAGGAGGGAAAAATGTAGCCAAGGGGACTGAAAACAAACATTAAAAAAATAATAATACTGTGACGCAGCAAGCAAAGTGCAATTCAGTTTGACACCGCTGGAAGCATGTGCTTTTCCTTGGGGGTAGTGACACCTTGTGGCCCCTATCTTGCATAGGCTCTAAAGAACACATCCCAGCCATAAATAAAATATTTAGTGTTCCTGAATGCGAATATAGTTTTTTTCCTTTTTTAAAGGGTTAAGGGAAGCACATAAATTAATAACTTTTCAATCCCCTCTATGGAGGTTTCTCCCATGCTCCCTATTTACCAAAGTGACTAAATCTAACGGAAAAGCTTCAGTAACAGAACAACTTTGTATCTGATAAACTAATAAAATCCATTTTCACTTTGCTGGGGTTGAACCAGTTCTGATTCATGCTGCCATCAGATCAGAAATCTGTCTTAACCAAACAGTTTTCAAAAATTAAAGGGCACACACCATTCCCTTATCTGACTAGTAGAATTTTATGCTCTATTTGAAATTAAAAGCATAAAATGAAAGAGACACTGGGACAGAACATCAGCCCAGACCCATGTGCATCCTGTGATAAAAATAACTTTGCTATAAAGTTAAGTATTTAACGATTAAAAAAAATTAAGAACGGCTGTGCAACCCTCTCAATCCCTTTCTAGCACAGGAATTTTGATAATTTTCCAGTCATATGAGCCCCAACTGTTTTCCTCTCAAGGATCCCATCTTCATGCAGCGCTAAAAAAATTCTTATTTCATTCTCTCTTCACTGCCCACTGCATTGCTCCGCATCACCACTCTGGCACATAAATCCCTTAAACCAAGCACCGACAGCCCTTACTTCTCAGGAGTCCTGGATGAGTATGTTCACTTGTACTTTACAAAAGGTAAGTGAATTTTTTTCTGATATATTGACCAATTTGGGGCCCTATTTGTAGTCAAATCAACTCAGTTTCATCTCGTCTCTGCCTCCAGAGAGCAGTGTGTCCCACACTTCTTTCTAAGAAGCTGGTGTTCATTTTTTTCTGAAGTATTGACCCATAAATTATATTAGTATGCAGTTATACCTAACATACTTCTAAATTCTGGTGTGAGGATTTCACTCGTAAGTGGTACTTCAGCAAGCATCTGCCCATGCTGATGTGCACACAGGTATGAGCGGGTGTAATTCATCGTTTAATTTATCGTTTCCTTTCCCAATTATGAACCATCCCTAACCTGGGAGCCCTCGACACCCTACAGACACGGCACGTACACGGTACAGCTAGCTAACCCCCTCCTCAGAGCCAGCCGTACTGCCCTCAGGGAGGTGTACTCCTAGTTTTACTTTTACATATCTGCTCCTTTGGTTATCAGTGATGGAAACAGAAGCAGCCACTGTCCCAGCGCCATACTGAATCATGGCTGAGATGTAATAAATTTTGGATATAAGCACCCTTCACTATTACAACACACTTTCACCAGCAGTTTAACATACTAAAGGTGCACTTTGGAGTGGCTGGGGCATGAGTACATCATTTCCCCACCAAGATGTCCAGTGCTAGCCTGTCAAAATCCAAAAAGTGAAGGACAAAGAAGTGTCATTAGGGACAGGTCATGCCACTAAGCACTGACCTGGGAGTCAGAGAATATTCATACTATGCCAGGCTCCACCATTGATGCACACACAAAGTTGAGCAGGGAACTTGAGTCTGTGTCTCCCTCTCCTTTCCCAAGCTTTGTCTGGATAGATACCAAATGATCTTGGAAGGAACTGTCCCCTGCCAGGTTTGTATGAGGCACAACAGGACTCCTCTAGGTGACTGCAATGAAAATGTGAGTCAGATCTATTCCAGAGCACTGATCTGCTCTCCTAGAGCAGCAGTTCACAAGCTTGCCACTATGAGAGATACTCAGACCACAGATTTAAATGACACAACCCTAGATGACGTTTTTAGTCTAGCTTTTTCTCCTAATACTCTGTCTCATCTTTGGAGTCATTCCACAAAATCTGTGGTTCTTTTTTTCCATGTACAATCAGATCCGCTTCGAAACTGATGCTCTCAGCAACATGTTAACTAAATTCTAAACAAACCATTCACTGTGTTTACAGCTACTCACTACAGCTATTCCGCATCATCAAGGAAGACAAAAAGATTACAATATTTACTGCAATGAATCATCATTCCTCTTCCATTCAAAACCACACATGTATACAAAACTTCTGATCTGATTCCCTCTCTGCTTCCAGCTGACTACAGTACTTCAAGTCAACAACTGCCAGCATTTATTGACTCAAGTCCTTACTGTACTGGCAGCTGAGATTCTCAGACTAGTGAAAAAAATGTTCTGAATATACTCTGCAAAAGCATACCATCATATTCAAGTAATTCTAGTGGTAAGTACCCACAATCAGATTAGGAAGGTACTCTGGATAATACATTGCATTACGAGCCCTGACTTTTAAAATCCAATTACTGCTCTTCCCAACAAATAGCTAACCCCATTATTCCAGCTCTAGCAGGACAACTCAGCCAGGAAAGAGTTGCAATGATAAAACTGACATGCAACCTTAAATCCAGAGGAAAAAAAAATCAGTTTTAATTTTAATGCATGTCCTCAAACCACTGAGGCTTACAATGCAGTTTACTGCTTGTTGCCAGAGTTCTCCAGAAGGCTACGTTTGACGGTATATGGGTTAGTTAAAGAGAGAGAAGGTAAGTCAGGTTAGAACCTCCGTGTTGCAAACTGTTAATTTTCATCTTTGAGTTCTTATTAAGTTTTAAGAGAAAGCTTAAGCGCACAGATGCCTAGAACAGCTCAAAAAGTGATACACTGGTCAGATTTGGAAATCATTTCTCAGGGAGGACAAATGGGCCTCCTCTATCAGGACATTTCTCACCTCACTGTGTATAAATTGATACTGCTTGGTACACAGAAATAGGAGGTAATTAGATGTGCACACATGGGAGGGCACAGGGACAGAAGACTCTCTTCCTTGTTATTTATCGTGCTTAACCCAGAAGAGTCTCTAGCACAGTGTTCTTCAATGTTTCTAAAACCCTTAATGGTGAAATCCACAGCCCCCAAAGTTAACAAATTACCACCAGAACTGCCAGTTCTCCACTGGAGCAAAACTAAGAATGATGACTCTAGGCTTTGTTAACCATGGTTGTGAACTGTGTCAGTGAAATCCATCTACAGCAAGGGGACACGAGAGCAAAACCAGCAGCCTTCAGTTCAAGGAAGCATGGTCCTTCTTCAAATACGCTCCACAATCCCTCTGTTCTGCCTTCAAGACTCTGCACAAGACCTTTTTTTGTATACTTTAATCAGGACCGTGCTTCCTTGTCTTTTTTTCCATATACCACGTGTCGGTACTGGAAGATCTTAGGTTAGGTAGGAGGATTTTTTGTTCCAAGTTTCACTAACGGCTTTGACCCTGAATAAATGCTAATATACTCTAATCACCTAGAAGTTGCAAAATAATACTACAGAATTAACATTTAGTAAATATTACTGTTATAATTATATTATATTATAAAGCTTGTGACCTCAAGGAAAAAAAAATTCAGAAATGTTCCAGCATAAATACTTGACCAGAACACCTACTGTTTTGTACAGCTGTGCTTTCAGGCGGTACGAGTTGTATTCCATTTTCCTCTTCTCTTCCTCTCGCTTCTTCTGCACCTCTGGCAGCTGCTCGTAGATCCTGAAGTATAAACACAAGAAATCAAAAATAGTGACTTGGAAGGAAGGAACTTATCGATATATGTATAAAAAAACCAAAACAAAACCATCCTCCATTTTATCTTCACATTCTGCTGGCCAACCACATCATAGAAAAATTCATTTGGGGGTTTACTGGTGGAATACACAGCAGTTGTGATACCGGAAATTCCCACATCCCATAATGCCTTGCTCTTACAAGCAGCACCCTCCTAAGAGCAATATTTATACCATTAAAATAACCAGACAGCTGATATGATCACCCAGCTGTAAAAGGCAGAGCTTCAGTATCTTCAGTACAGAACAGTCCCCTTGCTTTGGGGATATGCTGACTCCCAGGAACACGTTTATCCGTCGCTAGCAATATCTTTATCACAAGAATAACCTGATTTAAACTATTTAGGCATCTTTTCAAAATTTCTCTCACATCAGAGCCAAACAACAAGGGATGCTTTGAACCGAATCAAAGGTGATGGTGCTCAGTACAGAGTCAGGGTGCTGTTCTAGCCTGGTTTACACACCACCAGCTAAAGGAGGGACCCGAGGGCTACGATGACAGCGTCTTGCTCACACTTCCTTCCCCAAATCTTCCTTGAAGATCATAAAGCTTTACTAACTTCATGACAGTGGTTGCCAAGAAATACGCAGCTTCAAAAACATTGTGGTTTATGGGTGGTGGAAATGAACCATGGTCAAAAATTTCAGTCCGGTAATATTTAAAGCAAGATAGATCTTGCTATAACTCCTTTCTTAAGATGAGAAAAAAAAAAAATCATTACAGACACAATACTGCATTATACTCTTTTAGAGACTGTTTCATTCTTACATCAGAATAGTATCTTTGCGTAACTACAAAATATTTTTAAAAACATCTCTGCCTTCAACTCGTATTATCTGAAAGTACTTCAACACACTCCATTTTGAACATTGCAGATCAAGACAGGGTAGGTGTCACTTGCATGATTCAGAAAAGAGAAGGACAAGAAGTTAGCTGGAAAATAAAGTAATAGGAAGCTGTACGATAATTCAAAACTAAGCAGGTAGAATCAAGAAAGCAAGGATCAAATCCAAATCTCAGTTAGTACTGAATATTATCTCCTGTCTAATGCACCAGCTAGGGAAAGCCCCACACATTTGTAGGTTCTACAGATCTGCACACAAATGTCCTTACCAGTCCAGACTTCACAGTGGAACTGATGAGCAAGCAAACACCAAAAAAAAGAAGGGAAAAAAAAAAGCAACTGCACTCCTTCCAGCGACCTACCTTCCTGTGTATCTCTATTTTCCTACTTCATCTGCAGCTGCTCTTAGGTCATCTTTTCTAAAAATGTCACTACCCACATTACCACTACAGAAAAGAGGAAATCAATCACATTTTGATGTTTGTTTTACTCCTCTTACACTTTGCTGGAAGGCAGCAGAGGGTGCTAGGTCTATGCATGTGTTACTGGACGGAGGGAGGGACACCTTCAAGATCTGGGATTTTGTTTTCATAGAATCACAGAATGGTTTGGGTTCGAAAGGACCTTAAAGATCGAGTTCCAACCCCCCTGCCGCAGGCTTTACTACCATCTCACTGTTCTCTCAAGGCTTTTGCCCTTCAAACATCAAGATTTATCCCTCACAAACCACGCCAGTATAAGGACGTTTAGAACAAGAAGTAGAGAATTAAGAATTGTAGGTAAATTCATTGAAAATTGTTCTCATTACCTCTAGCTAATTTGCCATGAGAAATTCCACTGATGTCCTTACAGAGAAAAATAAAAAGTTTCTGCACTCATTATAGTTGTGGATTCCAAAAGAATGGTACAGAGTAAATTACTTCTCGGCTCCATCTGAGAGCTGGAGTATGACAGCAGCAAAAACAAAAAAAAGTCACCCAGTGTGACTGCCTGAATCAGCCTCCACGGGAGCCCTGCTGACTTTGGTTATTATGAAATCAGAGTTTCTGAAAATACCTGAGTTCACATACATCAGTCTCACAGGCCAAGTGACCCAAACCTGAATCCTACTTCAGCTAAACCATGTGCAGATGCAGTCCTTGGGGAACTGGCATATTTACCGTATCTACCACTTCTGCCACCTCTCTATTTTGGACTCTCCCAGCATGTGTTTGTTTTATATATTGTGTATTCCAGTAGATATCTTGTAGAATCCCAGTGTAACTTCGGTTGGAAGGGCCTCTGGAGGTCACCTAGTCCAACCTGCCACCCGAAGCAGGGCTAACGTCAAGGCTACATCAGGTTGTCAGGCCTCATCCTCTCAATTTGTGACTATCTCCAAGGACACAGATTCTACCACCCCTGCAGGGTCCTGATCCACCCCTTCACCACCCTCTTCATGAAAAACCGATTTCCTTGTCTCCAGTTAGAATTTCTCCGTACTGTAACAGATCAGTAAGGCAAAATCTACCACAAGGTGGTTTTCTTCAAGGGCAACAGTCTCTGTATTCCCTTGAGGCTAGTTATTTCTTACATAAAGCTCCTTTCATTTGGTGAAATGATACCTCACTCCTGCACCAATAACCTAGTTTGTGAATGTTTAAAACTATACAGATGCTCCAGTGGCACCCACCCTACATTTCCTCTCTTTTCAGGATCCAGTACTCGCACAGTTTGCTGTAGGGCTTGGATTGCAGATACTGCAGCAGAACACTCAGGTTTAGTTACAGAAATATTTTTTCCAAAATGATCTTGTTTCTCAGATTTTATAAATAGGTGCTTTCTTCCTTTGATAAGGTGTCTAAGCACCAAAAAAGCTGAGTTATCCCCCGTGCCCAATTCTCTGACTGCAGATCCAATTCATCCATCTTTCCTCTTCATTTACTCAGGTCACTTATCTACCTGAAATAAAATTTTCTTAACCTTACCGTTTAGATCTTTGAACCATTTCACTCTTTGGAATTGTTCTTCTCTTTCCTCTAATCAGAAGACCTAAATGGAAAATTTTGAGAAAAGTGAAGAAGTCTACTTCTCACAAAGAATACTACTACCATATGACTCTTTTATTAAGTTATGGATTCTTATAGAAAATAACATTATGTAATCTAATACTTTTATTAAAAATACACCCTGTAGTATAATGTGGAAATTGATTAACTCCTATAGAACGTACAAAGCAGAAGCATGAAGGTACCTCTGTCGGACAGCATCCGACTTGCATTCCTGTAGCCCTTTCTTTTCTCTGGGGGATTAAATAGTTCTTCTCGTTCGGACTGCAGTACACTCTGTATCCTCCTCTCCTCCATGACAAGCTTCAGATGCTTCACACGCTCTCCGGAGCGGGAGATGAAATCAGGGCGATGCACTGCAAGAGCCTCCTAAGATGGGATGACACAAAACAAAGTCTAAAGCGGCCAGACTGTCTCCCTACAGCTGGAAGGTAATTATCAAAATATCTAATATCATTATCAAAGCATGGAAAAAAAATCCCAAAGTAGTATTTGGTATAACTTACAAAATCGTGTATCCTTAATGCTGGGTAGATCCTCAGAGACATCGTTTAACAAATTGTCAACAACCAGAAAACTAACAGGTGAGAAATAAAAAAACATTGCTAAAATACTGAGCAAAGGGATGCAAACCTCTTCTCAAAAAAGAACAGCAAAGTTCACAGAGTTAAGCCCATAGGAAAGAATATTCTGTAACTTGTTGCAGTCTCCCACACGACAAATCAGTGGGCACATCAAGATTAGCAATTCATTTTGTCTCAGAAGGGGAATTTTGAAAGCAACCTCCTGATATCTGTCTGCTGCACTTTAATTTCCATCACTCGGTAGTCTCTGAGCACACGAGCAGATGCAACTGAGCTTAAAGAAAACTTCACAAGTGCACCTTAACGAGCAGTTCCTAATTTACATTCCACTTGCTGTGGATGATCTTTTCCAAAAACCTTTCTGTACACTACATCTGGATTTTTCCCCAGCTATTTAGAGTGGTCACACCTGATCTGAAGTGCACACTGTATATGCATGTGAATGAATGAGTTAAAGCCCATTTTAATCACATACTGTGTACATCACACAGTATTGTTTCTCCATGGAAGCAAGTATGACTCGACCTTAGCTACATTCCTTCTAGTTCCTGAAGCTAAATTATTTAAGCCCTAAAATATGAAGTCAATTCAAATATATTGTGGAAAGCCACATCAGCATAACCAAACAGGACCGACAAATTTCTTGCTGTTTTTTTTTTTTTAAGCAGGAACAGTCCATAACATGTTGACTTCCACTGATCATAAAGGTGAAATAACAAAAAAAAAAAACACCAAAAAAGAACAAAACGCTTTCCCACAAGATTCAGCATGACTCAAATCCTACGGAGATCCCAGCAGCCTTTACCTGTAACGTAAGCTTCACATAGGGCCGTGAGGACTTGTTCTCAGCATCTGTGCTGGGAACTCCTGGCTGAATCACATTGCCGTGCTGCTGCTCTTGCCAGTTCTTCTCTCGCAGAGGCTCCCTCCAAGGCTTTGTGTTGGTCAGTGGTTCAAACCAAGATGGACCAGCACCAGAAAAGGCACTGGAATGGTTTTCTTTCCTAGATTCAGATTTCATGTCTTCTGCTTGGACAAACCATGAAATCCCTGTTAAAAGACCACAGAAGAGGATAAAGATCTGTAGACGATACATGTGCCTATTTCCCATCCCCACCTATAGCCCTTTACACCTGTGCTGGTTTTGGTTGGGATAGAGTTAATTTTCTTGAAAGCAGCTAGCCTGAGGTTGTTTTGGATTTCTGCTGGAAACGGCGCTGATAACACAGGGATGTGTTGGTCAGTGCTGAGCAGGGCTCACACACAGCCAAGGCCTTTTCTGCTCCTCACCCCACCAGCGAGCAGGCTGGGGGTGCACAAGGAGCTGGGAGGGGACACAGCTGGGACAGCTGACCCCAGCTGACCACAGGGATGTTCCACACCATAGGGCGTCATGCTCTGCATGTACAGCTGGGGGAAGAAAGAAGGGGGGATCTTTGGAGTGATGGTGTGTGTGTTCCCAAGTAACCGTTACATGTGACGGAGCTCGGCTTTCCTGGAGATGGCTGAACACCTGCCTGCCCATGGGAAGGGGTGAATGAATTCCTCGTTTCGCTTTGCTCACGTGCACAGCTTTGGCTTTACCTATTTAACCATTTTTATCCCAACTCACAAGTTTTCTCACTTTTACCCTTACAATTCTCTCCCTTATCCTACCGGGGGGAGGGAGCGAGCGGCTCTGTGGTGGTTATGCCCAGCTGGGGTTAAACCACGACAATGCCCAAGGTTTTGGCTAAATCCAATCCGTGGCCTAACACTGCAATAAACACTCACTTCAGTTTAATAACACTGGCACTCTGCATCAGACACTTTTGTCAATTTCAAAAGAATTCCTCTACCAAGTAACAGAAAACCAGCAAGTCTTTATCAAACAACACTTTTGAAAAAGCACAAAATGGCTTAGTTTGCAAGTTTGTCTCTTTATAGAAAGAATATTTATCAGCAATTACACATTTTTAAGGAGCCTTTGTGCTGTCCTAAACCTTATGGCTTTTTATAGATATTTTTGAAGATCAAGTGCTTTACATCTTCCAAATGTTAAATATGCATACATGAATTAGATTACTCACAGTTTACATACATAACGAATACATCAGCTAGTACTCTGAGCAGATATTCTACATTTTCTAAATTAAACTGGTGTGAGAGGGAATGACTCGTCCCTACAACAGCAATGATGACTAAGGAAAATATTTTTAAATATTTAATCATGACACTGTGAAGACTGACAGGGAAACTTAAAAAAAAAAAAAGGCAGGAGGCTATGCCATCATCCCAAAAATGCAACTCTAGCTAAAAGAGGGAGATGAGTCTAGTTCTTCTGGTTCCACAATCTTCCCTCAAGTACTCCTGAAAAAAATACTTGTTCTTTGAAGCCTCAGTACATGAAACAGAGACCAGTTATACTCAAAGCTTAACAGAACCTTTTATAACTTGAAAATAAAAATTAAATATCTACATGATTCCCTTCTCATTGATCTTTCCTTGCCTTATTCATTGCTCCCTATTTACCATCTTTACTGGCTAGTTACTGCCTTTACCGGCTATGTGACATCTAACAGCTTGATTGAAAATGCCATCATAACAGAGCACTCGAGAGCTCACTTGACACAGTCTTTTTGCTTAAAATTCACTGATTAAAAACAGAATAAGAACTGACTGTACTAGTGACAGAGATGACTCCATGTCTTAGCTAATCCTCCTCACATATTTTGCTGGTTGCTGTTGAGATGCACAGCTTTTCTAGTCTGCAGAGAAAGTATATTTTGGACTGACCTTGTGGTAAATGCAGCCTGCTCCTTTTCATCCTTTTCTCCATGAAAAAATTGCCTGGCTGTCCCTTCTGCTTACCCTTGCTTCCTGCTGCCTGATGATCTGTGACCATACCATCTGAGTCTCCAAAAATACCACCAACGCAATGCCAGGGTTCCTGTGGCCGTTGATTTGGCTGGCGAGATCTTGGGGTAGGAAAAGTCACACCAACATCTCGAGTTCTTTTCTTCGTTGCACTGTTCACAATCTCCAAGTCTCCTGCAGTTGAAAATGAACCAGTAACATCTTATTACAGAGCAGCTGGAACTACTTTCTCACCAGCTCATGTGACATGCATAGTTCAAGGGGTGACCCTCAATTTTTACTTTGAAGTTGAAGGATCACTTTCCTTATCCCACCTTCCAAAGGCAAAATCTTTTATATTCCCATTTCCAATTCAAGGAGAGTTTACAGTGACTCAGGATTGTTACTACACGATAATCTGAGTAAGATTAAAGTGGTGTAAACCAAGTACCCCAAGCAAAACAAGAACATGTGTGTGTGTATATAT